CTGAATTCTGCATCTGAGGCTGAAATTACACGGTAGGAAATTACACGGTAGCCACAATAACACCTTGCTGTTGACAAAAGGGAAGATCCTGCTCTCTACTCTCTTCTCCCACCATCCACTCTCAACCTGGGTATGGTTTATGCTGGCTCTGGCATTCCTCTGCCCCGGTGCTGATTCACTTTGCCACATAGGCAAAAAGAGCAATTTCTTCTTGCCAGGTGAGCGAGGTTCAACTGGCTCAGCTCAACTTAACATACACATCTCTCTGAAGGGCAGTTTTGTAACTGGCTGAAGCTGCTCTGGTTTGAGATGGCCCCGAAAAGGAGCATTCCCACCCTACAGTCCATCGCTTGCCAAGTTTTCCTGCTACTTCCATGTGTTGGCAGAGAGGTTTGGGGTTTTTTTTGTTTTTTTTGGTAAAGCAACCAACAAAAACAAGGTGAGTTTTCCTTGATCCTTCCCAAGGAAGGCAGCAAGATCAATCAGTTGGGAGAGGGAAGGCTTCAGGACCACCTTCTGTGGCAGACAACCCAGCTTAAACCTGTCGCAAAAGGGAATGCTGACCTGAGTGAAATCCTAGTGAAAGCACAGCAGCCCCTGGGTGTCACGATGTGTTTATCCAATTAACTGTATGTCTCATTTTCTAAGACGTGAAACAGCTAAAAACCAACAAGAGTTATGAAGGCAAAACTTCACCAACACATTGGAGAAACCAAGTGGAAGACTGAGCATTGCTAACTCATTTTTCCAGATGAACTCTCTGGTTGGCAGTGGCTCTCCAATCCTGTCATGTCCCATCAATTACATACTTGCTACCTAATTTTCTATGCTGCAAGCTCCCATTCAGTGACATTTCTTCTGAATAACACCTACTTCACTGCTTGTCTCTGGTTTGATCTGTTGGCTGAAGAATTGCTTGGTTTTATTCTGCTTGTGAAAAGACATCAGCAGGGGTGCTGGTATGGTAATTACAATATATGCAGCTTTCTGATGGTCTGAATTTTCCAGGGGGAAAAGGCAGGCTGTAAATGATCATTTTGCAGGGGACTAAGAATGGCCCTTGGTACAGGGTAGCCACGAGGTGGCATGCTGGGCTTTCGCTGCTGTGCCTCGCTGATCTGTGAGCAAGTTATTCAAGAAAAGCAGGCAGATCTTTAGTGGAGTTATGTAAAACACCATTCCTATTAACATACATCCATCCTGCAAGAACAGGCTTTGATTTCCACATAAATGGCTGGTCAGATTTGATGTTATATTGTCATATGATTGAAATAGATCTCTTATGTCAGTCAGTCAAAACAGAATGGAGAATGTGAGTCATGCTTTGCAAAAAGCAGGAAGTTTGGTTTTGTTGGCACAAATTTTTAATACAGAGAGAAAATTATATGGCTGTATTGCTGTGTTTGTCTCAGGGATTTGTGAATAACATTGTCTATGACTTAGAGAAATGTTTCCAACAGAGAAATGAGCTTTTAGGTTACAATTGTTATTCTTTCTGCCTCAGTGGTAAGGAATCTAGGAGTCTAGAAGAAAACATGGACTGTCCCCAAAACTGTTAAGAGCAGGAGCCCCCCTCAAAAAAAAAAGCACAACTGGAAAACTGCTGATCTGGCATGGGGGGTGGGAGGAAACACAAGAAAATGAGGTAATACTCATGGGTGTGATAGGGACACTTGCACAAGGCTGTTATTGTTTTGCCTTAAGTATAATAAATCTTCATGAACCAGCACAAAGGTAGAAGTGCAAGTCACCTTGTGAAGTATTCTGTCGTTCTTGCTGGGGTCTGTGGTTACTGCATATCTGTCTGTGAGCCCCTAGAATAACTTGTGGCATATGTTAGATAGGCTACTGTAAAAAGCATGACACAGAACTAGTTTTTCTGCAGAGTCTATAAATACGATGGAGTTTAAAATTTAAATATACTCGAGTTACACTTCAACATGACTGTTCAAAACACTGCTATGCAAGAAATATTAATTTAAATGGGAACAGGTGCAGGGGAGGGCGAGTGATATGAACAGGGGAACAGGGAGCCAAAAGTGTTAGGGAAGAATAAAAGCCTTTGGCTTGGTTTGCCTAGCAAAACAGAAGGAATTTGATTACTCTTTATAAACATATGAACGGGTAGACCAAAGAGAGGATTTATCTACATAAAGAAAATATAAGCACAAGACCATATGGGTACAATAATAAAATGTTATTTAAGTTACTAAAAATTACATGAACTGTTTGGCATGCAGCACAAGGTAAACTGTTTCAGAGTTTGTTATAATGAAGTAAGTAAAAAAACCCCCCAAAACCTGGATTGCAATTCAGTGGTTATCTGGGGAGCAGTGTTCATGATCTGACTTCGCATACATCTGGTGGTTTAAAAAAGCTGTATTTCCAACTTATCGGAAGAGTGCAAGCAGGAAGGAAAATTTAGGTAGAAGTCCAAAAATTATAATGACAAGCTCTTTAAAAGAGTTCACTGAGCAATCAATGAGCCACAATTTCAAAATCAAGAGAGAAAATACACTGACAATTCCTGATTTATTAGTGGACTGGAGAGTGATTAAAAATGAAAAATAAATAGCAAAGTGGGGAAAGCAGGAAATAAGAAAGTGTTGGTATAAATGAGAAGTTATGAGAAGCAAAGAAGTTATTGGCAGTGACGCACATCAAAGGAAATCCATAGCTGGCAAGGCCAAATCCCAGAAAACCCTAGTAATGGTACAGGCCCATTACTAGATGGTCATGATTAAAATGTCAATAATGATGCAGAAGTGTTCATTGAACATTTATGATCTATGTTTGCAAAGAAGCAGGAAGATATGTGGGTGGATTACTTAACAGTGATGTGATAAATTTCAGTCCATTAGTAACCAGTGAAGCTCTTGTCTTCCAGTTCTCCAGCGGAGACCCCTTGTCTGTTGATACTCACTTTTAGTAAACCTTGATATACTAGGGCAATTCTAGAAAGCTAAAAATGTGCCAGGTTGGTATCTGTCTTCAGAAAGGACAGTTATATGATATGTAGTAATGTAGAACAGTTCTTGGCTAAATACCGAAAAAAAGTTGATATGTGACTCAATTTAAAGAATTAGTAATGCCAATCACAGGTCTAATAGAAATCTCATTTTGTATTTCAGGAAGATAACAAATAATTCAATTTCCTCTGGAATGTGTAATAAACTTTTAAAACGATTTTTACTTAGAAATGTGCAATATTTTAATAAAAAAAACCATAGGGTAACAAAGCATCAGTTAAGAATATATTAAACGCTGGTCACAGAGATTTTTTTTCTAGAACTGGTTACAAATTACTACAGAATAAGGCTACTTCTAATGGGATCCCTCCAGTATCATTTATGCTATAGTACACATGTACATAATCAATATTTTCATTAGTCATTTCGAAGCAAATAGAAAATCACTCCTAATACAATTTGCAGATGACATCCGCATCAGCAGAGTGGTACAGGATGATAAGGGCCGTTGTTCAAAACGCAGTAAGCTGGGTGTGGATAAAGGGGCTTTGTAAAACAGTCAAACGTAAAGCCAGTTATCTCAGGTATGCACCTGTACACACAGGAAGAAAAGCATCGTTCTCTAATGTTCTGCGTTCTCTAATGGCCTACAGTCAGCCTTTGCCTCCTCAAAAAGTGAAGGCACACCTAGGGATATGCTAGAGCCTTTTCTACCACTGACTACAGATGAACACGGCACCTTAATCTCCATATTCTGAAATGCAACACTGAAGAAAATGGAAAAGGGGAGGGGCAGAAAACTGTAATTTAAGCACTGGAGGAGATGCCACAATTAAAGTTTGTAACTTAATTTGGTTCGTTACAAAAGAAGATAAAAAGCGTGGCTTGATAAACAACATACCGACCTGTGCAGGGATGAATACTGACACGAAAAGACTCCTGGCAGCAGCAGAAATTGTGGCGTGATCCAGGGCAGGCCGAAGGAGTGCCAGTCGGCGTGGGCAACAGCCAGCTGCAGGGGCAGTCCCTCCTGCTCCCCAGCGCCACGGAGATAGTGGGAACTGCTGGAAAGGGGGGGAAAATGGCCCTTGAAGGATGCGGAGGTGTTACCTGCTTGATAAAGGAAACCAGTATCTGTGAATACATGGAGCAAACGTTGAGTTGAATGCACCACAGGCCACTGGGATGCTTGGCCAACACGCCGGGGCTGCTGCTTTTGGGCCTACCGGCCACCATGTCGTGTCGCACACATAGCTAGCCAGCCCAGCTCGGCCGCCGGCGCCGGGCCCGCCGTTAACTGGGGAGCGAGCTGCTGAGGGGAGCAGTCGATCCCGCCACCACGCCCGTTCCTGAGGGGAAACACGGCGCTCGGCTGGGAGGGTGCCTGAGGCGCTACGAGCCACCAGCCCAGGGTCGCTACGACCCCCTCAGCGGTACCGGTACGTGCTGGTTCTGGTGCGGGTACAGCCGCGTCCCCGCTGCCTCAGACCGCCCGGGGACGCGGCGGTGCCGGCAGCCGCCCTCCGTCGTTCCCGCCCGACGAGTCCATTCCCCTCCGCAGGGAGCCCTCTGTGTGTTTCTCCCCCCCACCCCGCGGCGTACCAAGTGGTACGCGCCGCTCGCCCCGCCCTGCCGACACGGAGGAACAGCCACGTCTCCAGCCCGGCGGGAGGGCGGCCGGGAAAGGGCGGGGCCGCGCCGCCCGGCGCTCCAGTCAGCAGCACGTGTGGCGCGCCGGCTCCGCCAATCCCAGATCAGGCTGGTGAATCATGCGGCTTCCGATTGGTCAGGGCGGTGGCGGAGGGAGCGGCGTGGCTCCGATTGGCCCGGCGGCTCTGTTGACAAACACCGCTCCTTCCCGCCCAGCGCCGCCGGCCGCGCCAATCGAGGGGAAGCTGCGGGCGGAGCGGCGTGGCGACGGCCCAATGGGCTGCCTCTCCGCCGGGAGGGGGCGGGCGGCGGTGCCAGGGGCGGGCGTGCGCGGAGTGCCGGTACGTGGCGGGCGGGGCGGGGCGGGGCGGGCGCCCATTCTGTGGCGGCGGCGGCGGCGGAGGCAGCGTTCATGTCCTAACGGCTGTTGGCGGCGGGCGAGGCGGGGCCCCTCCATGCGGGGGCCGCGGTGCCGCAGCGCTCTGGCCGCCTTCACCTTGCTGGTGCTGTTGCGTGTGGCGGCGGGCGTCCCGGAGCCGTTGCCGGGCGATGCCGCGGCTGCGGAGGCCGCTTTCGGGTTGGGGGCGGCCGCCGCTCCCGCCGCTCTGCCGGCGGGGTCTGCTGATGTGACGGTGGAGGACGATGAGGCCGGGGTGGCCCCGACGGCGCCAGGCGAGCAGGAGCCTGAGGAGGGCGAAGAGGCCCGGACCGGCGGCAGGTGGGCGGGGGTCGGTGCCCGGGATGAGAGTCGGTGCTGAGGGGGGTTCAGTGTGTGGAGATGCTGGGGAGGGGGTCAGGGTTCGGTTTGGGGGTGCTTGACGGGGGTCAGTACCCGCGGCGGGGGTCAGAGCATCAGGGGAGAAGGAGGCAACGTTCGAGGAGGTGGGGGAGAGTGTGTCTAGAGTTGGGAATCAGGAGCTGAGGGGGCTGGAGAGGGGGGTGATGCGTGGGAAAGGGGATTGCACAGTCCCGGGGGTCGTGGAGGAGTGGGGTTGGAGGGGTGTGCTGCAGGGGAACGGCACTTTTCGGGGTCAGAACGGTGGGAAGCGGGAAGAGGTGGGAGAGTTGAGCTGCGGGTTGTTCTTGGGGGGAGCGGTGGGTTGGGAAGGGGGTACGAAGAGAAATAAGGGTGCTGTGGGCTGGTGCGTGGGGTGGAACTGTAGGGACCCGCAGGGAAGTATCTGAAGGTGGGAGGAGAGGTGCAGGGCGAAGGGGTGGAAGAGGTGAGTCCCGTGGTGGGGCTGGCAGTGGAGCTGCAGCGATGGGCAGGCTGGAGTGAGAGGCAGTGTCAGTACGGAAAGGGTGTTTCAGGACCTCGCTGTCTCTAAGGTACTTGTTCTTTTCTATGGTTATTAGGAAGGAGAAAGGGTTCCTTAATTCTTAGACAAATACACTGCCGGATGTCATGCTATGTGACGTCTGGCCAGTCTGCTCACCCTGGTAACACCAAGTCTCGATCCCCTCCTTGACTTGATACCGGGTGGCAGTGCTGTGCCTGCGGGAAGGAGACCCAAAAGCGCTGCATATGTAGTCTAAACTCTTCCCGACACCTGCAACTCACAGTTCTTCAGAGCGTTGTATCCCTTTCCCTCATCTTTTTCTTTTAAAGAAAACGCAGTTCTCACATTTATTTAGTTGTCTGTTAAACACAGACGCTGATGTATGCTTGAAGGGAAGTCCAACACGCAAGACAAACGGCTGAACAAGTTTCAGAATATAACGTGGGGAAACAAAATGCTTATTAATCTCATGTGGCAAGAAGCTCTGGCAAAAGGAAGATTTTAATGAATGACTCAAGTGCAGAAATGTTACTGACCTGTTTCCAGCCTGTTTCTGAATTGGCTGAGCAAGATGAGGTGATAAGCCACAGCCAGAGTTTAAAGGAAGACAAACATGACTAAATGCCTACTATATTTGAGAACCTGTTCTAAAAATGAAAAGCCTGGAGCTTTTTGTTAGTATACCCAAGCATTCACTTAGAGCAATAAACTGGCTGATAACTCGGCATCCTATTTTCTTTGAGGAAAATCTATTCACCTATTAGCAATAGGATCATTCTTTTCTGTATCAGGTCACCAAAATCCTAACTAGTTTGTTACAATTCTACTGTATTCACTTTTTTTAATAAAGACCTTCATTTATTTAGCCCTGAAAAGATTTAAAAATGAATTTTCTGTTTGAATCCTGGAGCTAAGTAAAATACACTAAAGATGCTCAATTTAATAATTTAAGCCTGAGATTAAATGTAGCTGTTCTCTAATTGATTAGTATGTAGGAATACATTTGCTGTCATCAAATAAAAATAGAATGGCTGCCTGGCCATAGTATTTGCCTGTGTTTCTTTTTTTTTTTTTTTTAATCTGTATTTCTGAGATCTCTACTCCCGTCAGCTAATTATTCTTCAGCAATAAAATATCCACATGATATAACACAGTATAATCTGAAAAACAAACAAACAAAAACCCAATGAACAACAAAACCCAAACCCCAGCTGCTGTTGCTGTAGGCAAATGAATGTAATCATCTTGGTTTTGAGGATTTTTTAATTTCCTAGAAGAAATTGTGGGGGTTAGTGAATTACTGTGCTCTTTACATACAAACATGCAGGTTTTGAAATTGGAATAGCTGTTTAGAGTTCAAGTTTGACAGACAGCAGTATTTGCAGTGTCCCAAATGGCTGTTGAGGGTATTAGGGTTGGGAGTGTTTTTAAACTGAAACAGGAATAGTGGTAAATGTTGTGCCAGAAGGATGGTAAGTTCTGCTTTGTTTTTCTAACAAAAACAACTTATTTGAATAAATACAAAGTTTTTGTGTTGTGAAAGGGTATAGATGAGCTAAATAAGTGTTCCTTCTCTATCCTGTTTACATCTTCCCTTGCAATCTTAGCCCTTCTGTTTGTAGCTAAATCAGATACTTTCACTTCTATAAAGTACAACAGAGCTGTTCTCAAGCTGCCTGATGTCAAAAAGTGGGTTGTGTTCATGATGGGATATAAACAGTGGTTCTAAGGCCCAGGATTGGCCTTTTCTCAATGTATGTGGGTGTTTGTAGTAGATATTTTGCATAGTTTCAAGGATGAATATTGTAACTGTGCTTTAACAAGTTCATGTCTTTGAGTGAAAGAGGATAGGAAATGGTAAGAAAACTATTTCATTTAACCATAGAGGCTGTTTGTAGATGGTTCTGCTGGGGGAAATATGTCCAGATGTGTTTTCACACTGACAAGGTGCAAATAAAATCTGACTATATAGTATTGGCTTAGCCTCTGCCAGCTGCTGTGCTTACAGATATCTTAATATGTGCTGTGTTGTACTGGCCCCTTGCTTTAGTCTATGTGCTGGCCAACTCTAAGGGCCTGAGAGGGATTTTCTATTCCTCCATCATTTGATTCATAATGTATTCTGGAGTAGCAGCTAGAGGTAAGGTGAAGTACATAGGTGTCTTCATCATTTTACCGTTGTTCATTTTTCAAGTGTCTGGTTGATGGATCCTTGGATTTTTAAGTAATTGCCTAGTTCGGGGTGACTCCTTTCTGTATCTCTGTTTTTGTTCTGGTTCAGGCTTGTGGAGACTATTGCAATTCTGGTTTTGTGTTGATGTCTTTTTTATTTTTTCCTTCTCTGGTATCTGTGTGATGTGATTCACTCTCCACTATAATCCGTGATTTACTTTCAACAAATATCTTGCCATTTCAGGAATTTGCAGCCTTGCTGCCGCTTGTCTCTGTCTCACTTCCTTGGCATTATAATTGTGACTTTTGACCTTTTAACCTTTGACCTTAAGTTGGGTAATGTTTTGTGCAGGAAGGTATGCAGAATTGAGATCTAGTTTGGTAGTGTTCTTAAATTTGGATGTTGTTGGAAGCTGGCTTCTTTGATCAAGGTATTCTTTAAGCTTTACCCTAGTCAGGAGGTAGTGTTGGTAAAGCCAGTGATAAGGTATCATTTAGCAGAGAATAACAGTTTTTCAGGCTTAACCAAAATATAAGCTAATGTGGGAATTCCTTTTCTTTGCAGCTTGTTGATTAGGTGTCCCAAAGATGCATCCACAATATCACTATTTCAGATTAATGTAATAGAATTGCAGATGCAGTCCTGACACGTTCAGCCTGCAAAGAGATTACTAAAAGGATGTCTTTCTCTTGTTGAATCGTGGCTCTGTTCTACTGGGCATAATACACTAAATTAACCTTATGATAGCACTCTGGGGTGACACAAAGCAAGGTGCCTTCCTGTTTTCCAGCTCTAAAATAGTCTCTTGAAGTAGTTGCCTAAACAGCTTTTTCAGAATGTGTTAATCTAGTGCTTGATTAGACTACCTGAAAGATGGCAAGATCTCCTGTCACCACATCACACTCTCAGTATGCAAAGCTGTGAGTAGTGGAATCACCACTAAGCAGGGAAACTTGTGAAAAGAAAAATCTGATAGAAAGTCTAGCACTAGCATGGGTCTAGGACACATGTAGACAAATTGCACATCTTATACCAATTAGAGTTCAAGTGACAGGTTTTTAACTCACTGGAGTTGGTCAGAGATGAGAACAGATATTAAGATTTTCATTTATAGAAAAATTAAGTAATGAAGGATTTTATTACAAGAGTAAGGGTTTTTAGCAGGTTTTTTTCTGACATGCAGGATTATTGTTAAAGAGCAAGATGAAGATGGGACCAGAAACATTGCTATTTAGTTCAAAATGAGTCACTCATTAAAAAGAGAGAAAGAAATGAGTGGTTTTCTTGCACCTATTTCCAGTTCTAAAGGTAGCCACATGCAAGATTTAGGTATAGCCAAGATGGTCCTGTTCCTGTGTCTCATTGAAGTGTTTGCTTAGTAGGTGGAGTTTGTGAAACAAAAGCCATTATAGAGCTGGTGGCCAGGGGGACTAATGAAAAGTACCACTGTACCCAAGAAAATTCAGAGTTTTTAGGGTACGCAGAAGCAGTTGATTAAACCAGTTTCTCAAAGTGTGTGCTCTTGGTACAAAGGTTCCCTCTGAAGGCATGATTATTTCCACCACCCCACCCCCCCTTTCCTAATCAGCTAAATGTAAAGTGTGGTTACACCACGATTTGGGTGACCAGAGGTCATCATGCAGGTACAGATTCCAAAACAGCCATCTTGGGTGGCAGTGACGAGGCTTAAATAATGAGATAATTCTCGGGGCAGGTTGAGGTTTGCAAAGATGGGAAAAGATAATACAGAAAGGTAAGATACAAAGGCATAAATCATTTGTTACTTGAGGGAGAAGTCAAGCAGGAAGAATTAGAAAAAGGAAAACAATGGGAGTAGATGGGAAGGAAACATTTCACTGTGATTTTTAGGATTTTTTCTTCTCTGCAGTGTTACTGCCAAACTTCCCTTTGTTCTAGTTACATTTCTACCTCTTTTATAACCTAGTTGTCAGTTGGATCAACATAAAATCTAAATAGACCCACTTGGAATAATATTTTTATGCAGTGCTAGAAAGCTTCAGAGAAACTGTTTTACCATAAAGCAGATTGTGTTAAATATGTGTCCAAGGTCTTTAGTGTGTGAGCCCTTGTTTACAGTGCTTGAGAATAGGTAGTGTCCTGCAACTCGGTTTATTATTAACCCAGTCTTGGTTTTCTTACAGTTGGAATAACTGTATGTACTCAGCTTATAAAACCTCAAGTATTCTACTGTTCAAATATTTGCACAGTTGGTATTTTTCTAACACTTCCTTAAACTAAGCTTTTGAAGGAATGTGATGCTTGGCCACCTTCAGAAGTAGGAGCTGCTGTGTTATTTTTGCTACCGGCTAAAGATGTATTTCACTTTCTATTAACAATATAGCGCTATAGTACAGTATAAGGTCCTATAAAATGCGTGGGTTACTTTTACAGATAAAACTGCAGTGTTTTACGTGACCTTTGTTGTAGGTGATGTAATACACTGCTATCCTCGAACATGTTTTTAAGTTCATTTTAATTTTGCCCTCTTTAAAGAAAAATGATAGCCCCCCATCATTACCTCTCTAAACTTCAGCTTCCTACACTGGTAACTTTGGACAGGTGAATACTGTGTAGAACTGAAGCCAGATGTAATGTAGTGTCCCTTATTGTTTAAAGTAATGATTCATATACACGTCTGTGTGTGCATTACCTGCCACCCGCTCCTTCACCCCCAAGCAAAAATAGTCAATTTGCCCATCAGGTTTATTTGCCCAGTTCCTTATTCTAATTGAAACCAATGTCTATAAAGGTCCTTCTGGGTCACTAGATCCAGCCCCTCTCAGTGCAAGCAGTCTGTAAAGTGATCAAGCTCTACTCCCACAGCCTTTGAAGATTGGTGAGCCTGCTGCAAGCCAAAACTGCCAATACATCCCAACTTTTTCAGGTCAGACTGAAACAATCTTACAAGGAAAAAAAAGGCCCTTTAAAAATGCCTTGTCAGTGTTTTGTCTCTGTGCTGTTTAGGTTTCTTTGTTTGTTTGTTTTATTTAATGCTTGAATTCTAACCCAACCAGAAATGTTTATTCTAATTGTACTGCTGTGTAAGAAACAAGATTTACTAAAATTGGTGAGCTTCTGGTACTGCAGAAATCAACAGCTAGCCTGCTATTACCTTGTATCCTCAGACAGATAGGCTACTTAAAGCCTAAGCTGTGTAAGGCAGTTTGCTTGCTTTGTTGTTTGCAAAGGTTAGATGTTGTTTCTAGGGTCCTGTGTATGCCTTAGGCAAGACTTGTTTTATTCTAAGACTTGTCAAATCTCCAGAATTTTGATGTTTCATCCAGAGGTATTGAAAACTTAGTTGCAACTTAATATTTCTAATGTACTGATTTGCTGGATGAGTAGTTTCAGATTTAGGTTGTTTTGAAAGGGTGTATTAAAGATCAATGTGGAAAGGACTAGAAAAAATAGGATTTATACTGTTGTGTAAGTATCTTAAAAGAAGATGATCTCATTCAGTGTTGTAGTGGTTACACCTGCATGTGGGAGTAAAAAGTCAACCATTTTCCCCTAAAATTGAACTCTGAAACTGTTTTACAGCATGTAAATTAGTTTATAACATCCAGCCAGAGACTTCAACTTTTCTATTCTCTTGCTGGTCTAGGTAGAGTTACCAAGTTAAATTGCTGTTTTGCAGAATGTATAGACTTAACTTTAAAGTTGGATTTGCACTGTATTAAATACATAAAGCAGCTGATAGATAAACTTCATATGGCTGTACTTTTTACTGTGAATGCTTCCAATTTGCAGATCTCTAGTAATTATCAGCACTTTGGATGGACGAATTGCTGCACTGGATCCAGAAAACAGTGGCAAAAAACAGTGGGATCTGGATGTGGGATCAGGTTCTCTTGTGTCATCCAGTCTCAGTAAACCAGAGGTAAGGCTTTAATCTCTTTCCTGATTAAATCTTTAAAACTAGAATTTTCTGTAACACAATGCATGAAACTTCTTCTGTTTTTGACAGATAAATAAAGCAGCAAACTTAGTATGGATAAAGTTTGGTAGCTATTCTCAAACTTTTTTTTTGGAGTGCTTACATCATGTTGCCATTTCAAACTAGAGTGTGTCAGCATTTTAGTCTTGTGATTGACATATGTGATAACTATCAAACTAGATGATGTAACTGAGTTTGGGAATTGTATATAATGCTGATTAAAAACAAGTTACTTGTAATTTGAAGCAAATGAAAAGATTAACTGCCTTGTATTACTAGAGTATGCTTTCATAAGTACTGACTTTTTTTTTCCCCTCAAGAAAAGCAAAAGTCCTCATGACTTAATAAATGAACAAAGGATTATTTTATTTATACTAGATAAGCAGGCTGTCTATGAAGTAGAATGTGTTAGCAGTGAAATAGTGCTGGAGGTCACCGTGGAGTACTGTGTGGTAAAGGGTTGCATCACTTCTTGCTGATAACTGTAAGGAGGAAATATGAAGAGTTAAATTTCTTGTTTGGTGTTATTTCCACCATCAGTTTGAATAAACTTAGGCTACAAACCAGAAGGAAGTTTTCTTGCTTTTTTTTCCTGCACTGAAGAAGTGAGACCCATGAGTCATTCCCTCCTAGAATTAGAAGGAATAAATATACCAACTAAGAGGTGGTTTGTGGTGATGACCAAGTGAACGGTCCCTCACTGTCACGGATGGTTGGATTTGATGCCTGGTGCTGTATCGTGCTTTTGCGTGATGAGCATCTGCAAATGAAAGCTGAATTCACGGGTATTCAGACTCTCTGAGCTTTTTGCTTGTGGTTCTTTCTTGCTGTCTGTTTACATGACCTCTGTTTCAGTATAAAGAAGTTTAAGGAAAGATTTGGTCTGTTGCTGTGATAGTCTACATATGAGAGCTACTAATACGTATCTCAGATTGCAAAGGTAGTGCGTGCGTTAGCTCATGTTCCTTTGTTTCTATGAGAGAATATTATTTATGGATGTAACTTTTTGAGACTTGTTCAGATGTATTTTTGTATTTAAGAAAAAACACTGTAGGAAAGAACTTTTCCCCAATAAATGTGTTCTAGAGCAGAACTGAAAAGAGAACTGTAAAGAGGAAGGTGTTGGTTATAAACTGTAGTCCTTCACAAATGTCTTCAATACTAGATCTTTAAAATATTGGTCTGTTATCTGTTGCTGCAGATAGTTTCTGATGAGCACAGTGAAAATAGAACCAACAGTTACAAACCACATTTGAAATCTGTCAAATAAAAGCTTTGTTTTTCACTACAAATTAAGATGTGAGCGCAGGTTTTTAAAGATTTTGAGAATGCAAGCATTTAATACTATAGAAGTAATTTTGCAAATCTAGACTTTTGTCACTCAACTGGTCTGTCCAGAGTTTTGATCTTTTTCTGGTATGCTGTGACTGTAGAAACTGAAGGTTGGTGCTTAGACAATAAAAATTGTAGTTTGTCCATGCACTATTTAATTCCCTCTCATTGCTACCAGTTAGTAGGTTGCAGGAGTCATAAAAATACACTTTTAAAGAGCATTGATTATGCATACAGAAAGTTTTCATATGGGCTTTTAAATTGTTTCATTTCTACAACTCTGGCCAAAGACATTGATGGATTTTGGCAGTTAAGATGCAGAGCCTATGAGAGAACTAATTTTGGAAGTAAAACTTCATTCTGGCCTTTTAGAAGCCATTAAGCATTATAAATATGGGCCTTTTTAGACTTACTGTTATGTAAACAAATTCTGTTAAGATAAGACAGAATTTAATAAGAAACAAAAGTGATAAATTCTCCAAATAAGCTACACTTAAACATTTAAATATCTTAAACATGTAAATATTTAATGTTTAATCTGGTGTCAGTATCAGCTGAAAGACTTCATGCAGTAAATCTAGACACTACTTGAGTGAGTAATTGGCCTCATTAAAATTGTTGGGACAATTCTGTTTTGGGACAAAACATTAAATTCATTAAAGTCTCAGAGTCTGTTATCTCCCCGCTCTATGGTATTTCCTCTCTGATTTGGGCATGTGACATGGTAAGTTTTACTATAACTGTTGGGTCTTTTTCTTCCTCTTCCAACATTTTTGAGGTAAAAAAAGGTCTCTGTGCTTGCAACCACAATGCTATCTTCATCGTAAAATAGTATCATTAGGTAATCTGTTAACTACATCATCTTGCAAAAAATGGCAGATGAGAAAATCTTGTTACACCTGCAGTGTTAAAGATTTGTGTTCTTTTCAGAGTGAGGAAAGTGTTGTGCTGCTGTGTCTTAATGGTTTTGATGAGGTGTTTTTTTTTTTTTTACTATCTTGGGTGAGAGTGCAGTGAACTTTAGTTTCAGGTTCTGGTGTGAAAGCACCAATTTAATTTCCAAGTGCCTTTTAAGAAAAGACATTAGATCTTCAAACTTTCAGTGTTTAATAGAACTGTAGTTACTTCCTTTGCCTAACCATAAAATGTCAACTTGGCTGTCTAGAGCTTGTGTTAATTGGGAAAGTGAGGTAGTAAAATTTCAAATGTTCCAGCAGCTCTGTCAAACACTTCAGATCTTGAAACTACTGCTTAAGACACTGACAAGTGAGATGTTCATCATTTGTCATGTGAACGGATCAATTAGAAAGGGAAGGCTGCTGAACTACTAATTGTGTGTCTGGGTAACTAAAGTGGTAAAATTAATTCTTTGGCTCTAAGCTCCAGCATAAACAATCGTGGTCAGGCTGCCAATACTGTAAAGGTATGACTCTGCATTTCAGTCTTGTGCATAAGAATTTAAAAACTTTGTTTCCCAGTCCATTGTGTTAAAATGAAGAGCCCTTATATATAAAAGCTGTATGTTTACAACTCCCAAGATTTCTTGTTACCTGCACATAAAGATTGCCTGTTGAAGCTCAGAGTAAAGTCATCAAATCTCAACTTTTCTAAAAGGACGCTTACTTTGAATGAAAACGCTTTAATTTCCTCTTTAAAATTTAGCTTCGTAATGAATACATCGTCTGTACTTAGACAGAAGAGAATACGTTTGGGAGAATCAGCCTGTTAAAATAATGATGCTTAATCATAGTGAAAATAGAGAACTGCCTTACATGCTGTGGAAATGGTTCATAGCACATCATTATGAGACTGTTGTCATTTACTAATGAGGGTGATGGGTTCTCTTACCTTCATAGCTCTATACTAAATTACTTAATGGGCTTCTATCTCTTTCTTTTATGAGGATCTATTATATGAGAGAAATGAAAGTGTGAACTTGCCTGCATGTTAAAATGACTGGCCAGTAGTGGCTAGTGTGACTGATGGGACAGTGGGAGCCTGGAGAAGAGGTGGAGACAGGAAAAAAGCCTGTTGTGGATAGGATAAATGATATAGATACTCCTGTGAAGAAATGGGTATCTGATGTTTCATGAGAAAGGGGAGAATAAGTGGGCTATTTGGTCACGATAATGAGAGTAACAGCTTAAAAGTACATTCGCGACTGACATGATGATGTTTTGCAGATTCAGGAACGCTGCAGGGAGTTCAGCCTAATGGGGCAGCTCCAGTCATAGTACTTTTTGTGCTCTGGACAGAGCACTGTCAGTAAAAGTTAACTGCATTGGCTCATGATTTGGCTGTTACAGACTAATCCCTAAGTAAGCATCTTATTTCCTTTTTTGAGAGATTGGGGATCATGGGACAAAATGAGTTTTGGTCCACAAGGCTGACATTTATAACAGTCATAGTAAACATACCACTGTATCCTGGAAAAATGAAATAATTGGGTTATGTCATGTCACAAAATCTGTGAACATTCTTATCCCTCTGAAGGCTCTCAGTATCTTTGAATTGCATTGTATATATATTAAAATCTTAACAATTTTTGTGATAGCCACATAAAATAAACCTTTGTACAAACTTAGACGTTTATCTTTCTTGGACATAAGTGGCATGTTTCTGTGGAATTGTGCAATATTATATTTTTTCCTACAGATAAATGTGGAGATTCAAAGAAGTTCTATACAAAAGTCAGCTGAAAACTAATTGCATTGTAGGCAAGGTGAACCCATAGATATCTTAAGTACGTTGTTCCTTTTTTGCCTTTTGCAGAGGACAGACTGATGCTTAGAGCAGTGAGTTGGGAAAGGCTTTTGAAATCTCCAAAGCTCCGCTAATGACATAATTTAATGTACAGTATTGAATGTATATTTTTTTCTATTTTCCTTCCCTTTATCAGCATCATAACCAGTTTCAAATTTTCAGTGCCTTAATTCTGCTGTGAAGTATCCAGGCACCTGGGAATCACTTTAAGGTACTGACTGCCTGTGTTTTCCTGCGCATTAGATGTGGCAAACTCTGTAGATAGTCAAGCCAGAGGAGAGCCAAAAGCTTGGGGAACGCAGGAAGAATTTCAGTAACTTTCATCTTCGGCCTCTTACACTTTGGTGCAAAAGAAATTGCAAAACCCTCACTGATGTGGGTCAGAGCAAGCCAAGAGGTCAAAACGCCCTCTGAGGGGCTTGAATAGTGATTTCTGGATTCTTTTATGTGCCCTCCCAGAGGTTAGGGGAGTGTAAATAATTTAACAGTCTCTTTGAAAGAGAAATCTGGTGACATCAGTTTTAGGAAAATCACACCTACCACTTAGGGCATCCCTGCAGCAGCATTTCATTAGCCTGAATAAAAACGTAAGATTTTTGTTTGGTCCATGGCTTTCTACTTTAGTTATTTGTTCAGTTAAGACACTGGCTGTAAATATAATCCAGGTGAAAAGCTGAGATATATTTGTTTTGAGCTTGGGTGGGGAATGCTTAAGGCTTGTTTGAGTACTTTCACTTAAGTTTATTATAGCAGCTGTTGAATACAGTGCTGAATATTACGAATTTCTGTTAAACCTGTGTAAATCTGTTCTGACTCTGCTAGTAATCACTGGACAAAATGAAAAGGAG